CTATAACGGTGAACGCGCACCGGGTGAGAATAGCCAAAAGACTCGCCTGCACTATTCTCACCCCGGGTGAGAATAGAGGTGGCCTTTACCAATGCCAATGAAAAATTAAATTTTCATCCAAATTGCTTAAAAATAGGCTTTAACTTTAAAAATGAAATAGAGTAAATTCCAAGAACTCATGGTTTTTAAATTTTAAAAATCCATTGATAAATGAAAAAGTTATTGGTATTTTTTGGTATTTTTTAACCAAATTATGCACCCGTCTCATGTTCACGTTTCATCCTTTTTTCTAGCTAGTAGTATTTTGCATGCTGAACACGAATATATATGGCCTTCATTTTTGCCGCAAATCAATAGTTATTGAGTTATTGATGTTTGAAAATAATAATACATATGACATATGACTTAAAAATTTTAACAACATGGGGGGGCCCCCTAACCTAAAAAGAATCCGGGGGGTTTCAGGGGGGCATGCCCCCCTGCATTTCGCAATGATTTGATTTTCACACAGATGCATTGATTTAAGGGCTAAACTGCCATAATTTTTGCTGTAGAACACATATATGGCCACTAAAACCCTTGAAAATAATTGATTTTCAAGTAAATATCAATCCTAATTGCTGGCATGTCGTTAGTTTAACCTTTCCTTTGACTAACTTTCCTTAACTATACTTAGAAGAGAGTCACTTCTGATTCTGAGCGGCCCAAAAATAACCCTGATTTCCGGCCCAAGGCGCAGCGGGCGATTGGCATTGCTAAACTATTTTTAGGTAAGGCGCCCATTTTATTTGACGTCAGACCAGGATACCCCTCCGATCACGTGACTACATCTAAGTATTGCCAATCGCATGGCACCAAAGATGGAACGTGTCTTATATCAAGCTTTTCTACCTCTCGCTGTCGGAAGTTCTGATGGCTGAATAGACAGCGCGTCTGCGTTTGAAGTCATGCAATTATTTTATGAGCGGTTCCTTCCTGGTTCCGGACAGTTTTTTTTCTCTTCTCCTCCTCCTGACCATGACAGTTTTTTTGTTTTTTTTAACCCTCGTCCTGCGTGGGCCGGGTTTATGTCGCCCGATAAGCCTATTTCGGCACCTCGCCTACGTTCTGGTCCTGAGTCAGTCAAACCCCTGGCTCAGCGCACGCGCACCGCGCATCATCTTAAGTCAAATTCGGGTCCTGAGTCGGATCCCCATTCACGCAGGTCAAGTGTGTGTGCGTCAGTCTGCTTGAGTTTGCGTGCTTTTGTGGCCTTCTTCTAGAACTGCCTGCGATGGGTTTGTAATCGAGGCATACGTCTCATTCAAAACATGCCAAGTTGGTATCTAGCTCTAGATGTTCGTCCAATGAAATTATAGAAGAAATTGACCCACTTAGACATGGAGGAGCTCGAAAGGATCTAGTCAGGAAACAAGACTTTCATTTTTCTCTATACAAAATCTTTCAAATGAGCTTGATTTTGTATGAAATGATACTACCTGATAAAAAATAAGCTTGTTTGATATTTTTGAATACCATTGTGCAGGTACAAAGAACAATTTGAGTGCAAAACTTTCGGGAATTGACCTATATTATCCCCTACTTTCGAATCTCAGGTCATTCATAACAACAAGAGTGTCTAGAAAGGTAAATTCGAATGGGCGTAACTCGTAATGTCTTATCAGCTTGTGAGAGGGGGTTATAATTCATGTGTTTGTAACTCTTTATAAATAGAAACCTATGAAAGATAGAGCATTATTTTCATCATCGATTAACACACTCCCATGGCGTTCATGGCGAAAACCGTGTTTCAATTTCAGTTAATCCGGTAAGAAAACACAAAGACAATAAAGCGTGCTAAAATTGCCGTAAATACGCCCGGAGATCCCCCCCTCCCGAGCCCGATAAACAATGTGAAGAAGAGATAAGCAGCAGCATCATGGAAGCACTGCATCATATCCCATAACCGGTATGCAGAGATGCCAACCAGTACGATTTTACGTATTTTAGTACGATTTTTTGCCGAAAATAGGCGAATACGACTTTTCATGAAAAAATACGCATCCTGGAATGCGAAAAGTACGAGATTCAGTTTGGGCGAGTAAATCTAATTATCTCAAGTCCCTCTTTTGTCAAAATAGTATCAGTATCGCAGAACTGGAATATTTGAAAACCAAGTCCGATGTGGTCAGTAAGTTCATTTGTGCCGGTCGCGATCGTGATATTATATTCGTTCAGCTTTTCCTCGTCCGGAGAGTATGTTTCACTTTCACGCGAATAGACAGCTATGGCGGCAGGTGGAAGCGCATGATACGGAGGCTCAATCGGGAAAAATCAAGAGCTACTTTCGCTTTAATAGTTACTACCGAGAAGTTTGCCAGCAGTTGTCTGATAGGCTAACGCAACGTTTGTGGCATGCAGGTTGTGCAGTATAAACGCAATGTCGCCGTGCAAATAAAATTATAATACTCGGACTCGTCTCTGTGCTGTAGCTTGTGGAAAAAAAAAGAAAAGAAAATACAAGCATCGTCCGATTTTTAGATTGTCTGGTTCGCCATCGTGACCGGTCACTGAACCTGCGCGCATTTGCATCACAAATAAATGCGGCATCGTGTGAGCAAAGACCGTCTTTGGTGGGAGTAACGGCGTTGCCAAGTATATGACTACGGAATAGGAGAGGAGATTATTGATTTTTTGGGGGTTTAAGAAGATACTATCGGGGGGTGGGGGGTGTTAAGGCAACACCAGAGGACAAAAACTTGGAAGCAACTTTCAGAATTTTGATTAGAGCTTTCTGCAAAGCGTGCGTGTGTGCGGAATCGGGACTCCTCATACTTTGCAAGTCTGTGTTATTGAAATAAAGTGTTCGCGTTTCATTGGATGGGTGAAAATAAATTATACCTACGGTGTATGTTGTAGCTTTCTGTTCAAGACTGGCAGATTTTCAGTGTCACTGCATCTTGCCCTACCACAGTTGTTACAACTCTCACAGTGCACGGGTCTACTTGAGCCTTTCAAGTTATCGCTTTTCTCTGAGTTTTAGCAATAATTTGAGTCTGTCAGTTCATAATATGAATCATGATTCCTAGACTGGTTCTTGATAGTCGAAATTCTTGTTCTAGGCCCTTCCGAACTCTCAAAGCAGGATTTATTTTTTATGATAATGAGAGGGGAATATTATATAATAGACTGAAATACTTAAGTCAACCAAGACCCCAGTACGACATTGAACACTGACATGTTATTGACTGGATACATGTATATTGTACGCGTGTTTGCTCCCTTTTTCAAGCTGGTGAGCTAGTAATTTTTTTAAAAGGAAATATTGCTGGACACCCTGATCATTTTACTATTACTGGTCGGTTGGTCGGTCGGTCGTGGGGAATACACATTTTCCCCTGAAAATACACATTTTCATATTTCCCAATACTCATTTCGGTTTTCTGTGGTTGGCATCTCTGCTGGTACGTCTCCTGGAAAAACATCGCACCAAACGTCGTGCCAAGTTAGGTGTATACACGGTCCGTGGTGCAATGCGGTTGGCTATGTTTAGATCATGTAGTCACGTGATCAGAGGGTATCCGGGTCTGACGTCACACAGGATGACCGCCTTACCTAAAAATAGTTTTCGTCGTTCTAAGTTTAGTCGCATGTCCATGCTAGTGTCACAAAAATAATAGATCTAGATCTAGATAATCTAGATAGATTAGATCTTGCTAGGCCTAGTTCAGGCAGGTGGTC